GCCGGCCGGCCCTCTCCCCGGCCGGCGCTGGGTGCGGAAAGGTGCGGACTCACCAGCCTCCCGCGGTGCCGGACGGCGCCCTCACCGACGCTGGGCGCGACTTCAGATGCCCTGGGCTCCGGGGAAGCTCACCTCCATCCCCAGCAGGCCGGCCTTCACCCGGAGGCGCAGCCCAGGCACCGGCTCCAAGGGCCCAGAGGCACCCGAGCAAGTCTGTGCTGAGAGCAAAAACCGCTCCCAAGGTTACAGGTTGGTTTCGGCCTTTGCTTTTCCTTTGAGTTAAGGTGCAGGAAAAATTTCCTTTAATAGTTGATTCCCCCAGCAGCTGAAATGACCAGCAATGATGTCTTGACAGTTAAGGTGTTTGGCGCGAAGGGTTACTTTGTCTTTATTTACTCTAACATTGGTGAGCCAAAGGGACTTTTGTGCATCTCTCCCGTCGGCTAAGGGAGGCGGGTGAACGTGAGGCTCCCCCACGCCCGCCTGCTGAGCCTGTCACGGACTCGCCTGACTTGGCCCCGCTACTCTGGTCATTACAATGTCCCTAGATCCCAATTCTCCATCCAGAGGCTGTGGGCTTCCTAATTCGAGCCCTTTGTGGCCAGGAGCGCCGTTTTCATTGGCCTTTTCAAGAGAGTGGAATTAAACACTTTCCCCGACAGCGGCTTCTCCCCTTCATTTTTCCCGGCCCTGTGTTGGTCCTGCCCTTTCTTTTATCGAGGTCCTTGAGTAGAGGTCCTGCTTCTGCATCAGCCGTTTACCTTCCCCAGGCACTCTGGCTGTTCTGTCTGCGCCTCCCCCGTTCTTTCTCAGCTGTCTTGCCATTGCCTCCGTCCTCTGTCAGCTGTCTGTCTTTCCCATGAAAACATCTGTCCTCCTGCCCTGTCACGTCCCACTCTTCTTTCCTGTTCTAACCCTCATCTTCCCAGTTCTCCTTCTTTCTCGGCTATTTCTGATTGTGTCCTGAGTCCCTGCCCTTCCTGCCAAGGGAGAAAGTGTTGAGAGTAGGTTGGCCCCACAGTTGTCAACCTGTTTTAGCAAATCAGTCTTAGCGACGGCCGCCTGGGCCACCTCAGCTGAGACGTATTTTAAGTCCCCAGCAGTAACTGGTACTTTTCTGTGAAGGAATTGGAATCTTTGGCTTTGTTATCTAGGTGAGAAGGAGAACTGGGAAACAGTATTGCCTGTTTTGGGCATTTTCTAGATCTAAACCCAGTACTGGGTTGAGAGGGGCATAATGGTTTCCACGGAGGTGGAACGTCAGCGTCAAGCTTGTGGGAGGGATATTAAAATAAAGGTTTTGTATTAGACTTCAGCTTCCTTTTGTGTTTATTTCCTGGTCCTGGGTCTTGGTGGCACCGAGAGGTGTGTCCACGCCGAGGGCAGGAAGGAGTTCAAACGGGAAATTCAGGTAGGTGATCTGGAGTGGCAAGTAAAAAGCACCACCCCCCTTTGGTACTTTTCAAAACTTCTGGTTAAAAAAAGGGTTTTGTGGCAAGGGGACTTGAAGCACTGAANGGTACTTTTCAAAACTTCTGGTTAAAAAAAGGGTTTTGTGGCAAGGGGACTTAAAGCACTGAAAAGGGCTAGAGAGAAAGAAGGGGGCACCAAGAGCATGGGTGTTGAAATGAGATTTTCTCTAGTTGAGGGTGAAATTAGTAGCTCTGGAGACGCTGAAAGGAGGCGGGGGGGGGGAGAAAATGCAATTGAGGGGGAAAAAGAAAATATTCGATTGTTTTAGATTGTTGGGTGCCCAGGTGGTTTAGCATTCAGACCTTCTCCTTTGTCTCTCTCTTTTTTTAATTTTAATTTTTTGTTAGTACTCACCTGAGGATATATTATTTCCATTGCTTATATTATTTCTATTGCTTTTTATAGAGAGTGGAAAGGAGGGAGAGAGAGAGAGAAACATCAACGNATTTCCATTGCTTATATTATTTCTATTGCTTTTTATAGAGAGTGGAAAGGAGGGAGAGAGAGAGAAACATCAACGTGAGAAAGACACACCGATTGGCTGCCTCCCCAGACCAGGGCCGGGGATTGAACCTGCAACCCAGGTACATGCCCTTGACCCAGAATCTCAAACCTGCCACCCTTCAGTGGGCAGCTGACACGCTAATGGCTGCCGCACCAGCTAGGGCTGCGTTTTTTCTCTCTGGATTAAGGGGATGGTTAATTAGAATGCTTTTCACCTTATCTCAAGGAGCATTTTTATGCCCCCCTTTAAGTACTGTTCTCTATTTCCAAAAATATTTATGGAGTGTCCATGTTGCCCTGGCACTGCCGGAAATGGATCTAAAGAAGAAAACCTACTTGAAACTCACTACTTATTGGGAGCAACTAACAAGAGAAATGGCCCAAACCTGCGGGTTAAGGGTCTTCACGAAGACGAGCCCCAGACGCTGGAGAAGGTGGCGGGCGGCGCCTGGAGGAAGGGCCCGGCTCAGCCTGGGCGGTCAGAACCACTTTCCAGCAAGAGGCAGTGCCGAGCAGAAGAGGTGAGGAAGAGCAGAGGAAACTGGAGCGAAAGCCCGAAGGTCCTGCTCAGCGTCGCGTGTTTGGGGAACCACCTGCAAATAGGTCTCCTTGGCTCTAAGGAAGAGGGGGTGTGTGGATGCGCTGCTGGGAGGGAGACTGCGAACGTGGGGGGAGTCAGAAGGTAAGGGGGCGCGAGCAGGGAGGGGAGCCTTTGAAGAATTTTCGGGAGGATAGTGACCCGGCCGGATTTGTACTTTAGAAAGGTCATCCTGGAAGCAAGTGCTGGTTTGGAATCATGACCCATATTAATGAGTAAAAAAGCACATTGCAGAACAGTAGTGCTTTTAACCAAATCTAGGGCACCATCCATTGTATGGTACATATTGGTTTCAGAGATGATAAAATGTAAAAAAAAAAAAAAAA